AAAAAAAAAAAAAAAAAAAAATCTAGACTCGGACCAGGACGACAATTTGCGACGATGCGATATATCGATTTCGACGAATCCTTTCACGAGGATCCGTCAGTCCATCGACTAAATACCCGCATCATCGCGGGATTAAAATATTGATCCGAAATGCCGCTGGCTGTAGAGAGGATGCGAGTTGTGGTGAAAGGGAAGCACGAGTCCAGGGTAAAGGGTCGAGAGGGACGAATGACGAGGAGGTGGGTACGAACGAAGACGGGGAGAGATAAAAAAAAAAGAAGGAAAATAGTGTAAAAAAAAAGTGAGCGGGAGTCTTGCGACCAGTCGCTGAGGGCACTCGAGCTAATCGTTTGCATAAGCAGTCAGAGAATTTGGTACCGATGGAAGATGCTGCCGTGTACACAGAGAGCTCAACCAAAGGGTCGGTGCTAGCTGATACTCGGGACGTCGAGATCGGTCTTGGATATGAATGAGAACCACTGCCTGGGCGGCACAACGTCACGAGGTCGTTCAGCGCCAGAAATAGTTTCGAACCTCATTATTTTTTACTCTTAACCGGTGAAATTTTCTGAACGGATTTCGAAAGAGGGTTGTGCAAGACGACGCGACAACGTTTACGGTACCCGACGTCTTCTACGAGGTTGTATCGGGGTGCGTGTGGTATATGAAAAAAAAAATGTTGAACCCGCGTCTTGCATGAAATCTATCGGTCGTCGTGGATGGGTTTGTAGATTAGAAAAGAAAATAATCGTAATTAAATAGATCAGATAGATGACGTCTTCTGTACTCACTTGCAGCTCCTCCTTGCACTGTCGTTCCTCCTCGAGACTCATCCGCTTCTCGTGCTTCTTGTAGTATCGCCTCTTGGCTGCCTGTAGGTTGAACCACGTGTACGAGAAAGACTTCACGAACGGTAGGAGGGCCTCAATGAATGGATGGAACTCATCCTGAAAGCAAGGAGGTGCGTGTCATTTTGCGCCTGCTCCGGGAATCCTAGACCACGTGCACATGCGGCCCATCCACAGTGACTAGGGAGCGCGTGGTGTTTTGCTACGTTGTCCAAAGTCTCGGCCAAAGGACCCTGTCTGTCTATGGTCTCCAGTGTGTTGTGCGCACTGTTGTTAAACAGCCTGGTACATATAGCTAGCCAATTGTGGCCGGCCACGTGTCTTGGCTGGATGATGGAGACGTTTGAGCGAACACTGGTGTTAGCATGCAAGTTCATGGGTCTGAATGGGATCTGGTTTGGATGGCTCGTGTGGGAGTGCGTGTGCGCCTGGTGCTGATGTTGGATATTTAGATAAGCGATAACGACACCAACCATCGAGTACTCGCGAGCACTGCGGCCGCTGTGGCACACTACCGTCTCTCTATCCCTCTGGAGGTCCAGCTGTCAGAAGCACCGATTCTCGCAGTAGCCGTATGGGTCACGATACTCCTCCGCCTCTCGCTCGTAGGTCAATCTTGGCCTCATCTGCGAGAACCGCCTGGATCCCCTTCGATATTACCACCCCACACGTTTACTGCAGTCCGGGACGGACGCTTTGAGTGTTTATTTATTTATATATCGCACTTTCGCTGATTTTGTCTTTTTGGTTTACTTTTAGACCGCGTGACCTTTAACCCTTCATCCTGGATAAATTTAATGATTACTTGTACGAGCTCTTCCTCTGAGAAGGACGCGAGCATCGCTTGGTACCCCTTGCTCATACTTGTTTTCATGGGATTGACTAGGGTGATGCTTAATCGAATGTGAAGGATGGAGCGTCGCGACGTCGTTTTTTTCGAAATCCCGTCTCGCGCTCGACTACTATCGCGATTATCGTGTCGCTCACGTCTCTTGACCACCTACTCGTTTCTGCGATACGTGGGCGTCTTGCGTTTCTTTTTTTGCCCCTAAGAGAGGAGAGGACGCGCTTCTCGCGAGGAGAGCTGTTGTTATTGTTGTTGATCTTATGCCGGATGCTGGAACCGACGCGAAATATGAGGAAAACGAGAAAAGCACAGCTCCCAGGAACAGCGTAGGCAACACGAGCTCAGCTGAGTCAGTTTAGCATGGAGGCCGCTGCGCAAAAATGTCCGTCGACCCGGTCGAATTGCTGCTTTCGAAAATATAAATATCTTCCTCGCACACGGCTCCGTCCGTGGTTCCACTGGGGACACGATACCGCCCGGGTGTAGGTAATCGCGTGTCGCTAGCGTTAATGCGCGGTGTTCGAGAATTTCGAAACGGGCTTGTTGTCGTCCGACTGCTATACAGCTAACCATTAAGTACCGAGCAATGTTATTTGGTGCGATATTCAGTCTCAGGTAGCTCAATGCGGCTCAGATCGAGCGTTCCGCCTAACGTGAGCGAACATTGAGCCACGTGAGCGAGCGTTGTGCCGTATGAGCGAACAGTGAGCTGTGCGAGTGCAGGTTGAGCTGCGTGAGAGAAGACTGCGAGCCGTATGAGCCGACATTGAGCCACGTGAGCGAACATTGAGCTACGTGAGCGATACGTTTGAGCTATGAGAGCGATAGGCGTGCATGGATTTTTATATTTATGAACTGTACATCAAGAATGAACAGCGATGCTTATTCATTCTTGATGGAAAAACGAGTTGGAAAAGATCGGTACCAAGGAAGAGGACGAAGTGAGAGTCGCAGATCAAGTGTCGAAGATGAAGTTTCACAATGAAGCGGATTACTTCGAATAGCTTCGCGTTTTACCGATCGGCGCGCACCAAATCGACTACGTATATATCCGGACACACGCGGCGGCGGTCCTCGCGTTTCGATATTAACGCGAGTTACGTTACGTCCGTCGGCAAGCACGGAGACGACGTCGGTCGTCGCGACGACACTGAGACGCCGGTGGACGAGACGCGCCGTTCTAGACGCAAGACGCGCCGCGGGCACCGCGCGGCGGCCAGGTACGGCACCCCAAACAGTTATTAATAGCTCGTGTCCTAGCTTACTAGATTTGCCCTCGAACCGACGACTCCTGGTGACTCTGCTACAGCGCGATTGCTGTTCCTTTTTTTTTTATCATTAGCAATTCATCATCATCAGCGTCAAGATCCTCTTCCTCATTATCCTGATCTACGGTATATGAAGTATCATCTGTTTACGCTATTCTAACCCTCTTTGAGCCTCTCGTGAGCCGTCTAACGAGTGACTCCCCGAGGATGACCAGGTCGTCGAAGACCTCCTGGGGGATGGAGTACGAGATGAGCATGCAGAACTAGTATGGGTCTGCAGCGTCGAACCGTGGCTCGGGGAATGAGAGAAAGAGTTGGAGGATGAGGAGGAAGCGGAAGAGGAGGTCTAGGAGGGAGGCGACCACGCGGTTGCTGCTGCAGGCGATCGATAGCCAAACTCCTCTCCGTCTGGCGGGACATAACATAGACACTAGGCATAGACATAGAAACGTGGTCACGTATGTAACTAGGTACATGCCTACGCAGCCGTGGTAAGTCTAGCGCGACACTCTGGACCAGGGAGAAATTAGAACAAAGAGAATCAGGGTGGGAGGATGAGACGAATGAAGAATGATAAAGCCATGATTAAAATGGCAAGACCAAAGCTGCTCCTTAGCTTGGACAGAAGAATGTAAAAGAAAAGTCGTGCCAGAGGTTACCGCCTAGGCTGCAAGCACCAAGAAGAGCACCAGGCAGACAGGATGCTCGAGAGTCGCCCGGGACCAAATAAATGTCGCGTACGACGCTAATGACCGTTCTAAGTTTGAGGTGGATGACGTAGAGGTTGATGAGGTGCGATGAACCTGGTGAACCTTTAGAGAGCCAGTACAAGATGCGGGAACACGTAGAGAATTTGTCTTTAAAAAAAGAGTCAGGAGTTACTCGTTAAAAATGTGATCATCAATAAAAAAAGACACGTCGTCCTGTCCAGAACGTCATCACCGGGAGGTTAAGTATACCTGGTGCGATGGATAAAGTTCGAATTGGATTTGCGCGTTCGCGTGCGCACCTCGTGCTCGAGGAGGGTGCGTGTCTGGCGCCGATAACGCTTAGTTTTTGAATGACGAGTAGTGGCTGACTGTCAAAAGGGCTGGCGAGCATCCTGACCACGTGCTTCGGGCGCGAGACTGGAAGCGCGCTTAGATTAAGGAATGGGGATGCAAAGTGGTAGTGGATATGATTAATATTGAGGGTTAAGATTAATTAAGGAAGCACCTGTCCTACGGAAGGGGCCTGCAGGTATGTCGAGACATCCGGTTCCACCATGCAGCTCCTCAGGGTATCCGGGATGAACATGAGTAGCTGAGACGGTGGCGGTCCAGGCTGAAGCCGATTCGCACCGTAGCACTCCTGCCCCAGCTGAAGCGTCCTGAACGTCGTGACGACGACTAGGAGGCCGGCCCGACGGTGGGCTACACGCGAGGGAACCTCGTGGCAGCGCACCTGGTGCGGAGTAGTTCTCGGGCTTTTTTGTACTGCTGTTCCGGGTGCTCGTGGTGATGCACCCGAGAGTGGTGAAGATAATGACGGTAAGGACGACGACGACAGACACGATACAGGCGACGACTAGGAGGACTGTGCGGATCGGTACCGGGAAGACACTGAAGACTATGAGGCGTGATCCTCGTGCAACTGGAACCTGACTTCCTGGTGATGACGTAGCAGGAGATTCTTGTACTCGTGGAGTATCTTAAGGCGGTGCAGGGATGAAGCGTCGTAAAGTATCCTGGTCCTGGTGCTATCGTGCCCTGATTACTCTGTAGATGATCTCCTTGACGAAGGTGGTGATCTGGGGCACGCTCCTGATCTTCTCTCCAATCCTCTTCGACGGCGATTTTCTCCTTGTTGCCGTCCCTCTTGTTCTTGCTGTGACTTTTTCTCTTGTTGGGTGGTGGCACACCGCACCCAGGCACACGCATCCTATCTAACGCGAGCCACACTCCTCACTCGACTAGCCCGTTCTCGTCGTTCTCGTTCCTGTTCCCGTTCCCGTTCCCGATCGGGAGACGCCAAGTCCCAGACTACGCCGACTCCCAGTGTAAAACGCTGCGTCGGCGTCGCACTCGGCTTCGGCGTCGGCGTGAACCCGACGGGTCCTCGCGCAAACTCAAGACTCCCAACCGAGAGAACTCACTGTCTGCTACACCGAGGTTTCACTCTTACGCTAACAGCAGCATCCTACACCGACGCGTCTGCTGCTAATCGTTCGCACAACGTCGACGTCTCCGTGTGGCGTATTTTTGATTATGCGAGTCCCAGCGTCTAGACGTGTCTGCACTTGTGTATTCCTCTCCAAGGATGTTTACTCTTTGCTCCTGTACCTATAATAATTAAAGATACAGCACCAGGGTATAACGAACAATATGTAATTAATAATTTGATTTGCGTTTACGGGAAAGTTATTCTCTTGACATGGCCGACAATAAATGTCCCATCTGTTAGATTACAAATGGAGCACTGGTTAGGTCGTAGCCCCAATGTTTTTGGCGTATCCAATTATTAGAAACTTTATTTACGAATGACTTTACTCTCTTTTTGTGTTCTTACATTGTAAAACAATGTAACGATGGCCCAAGGACTCCCGAGTGTCACTGACGTGAAAACGATCGACCGATTGGCAACTGCTGCCAACCCTACCCTACCGCGGGAAAAAGATTCCTGGCGAACGTGACGGATTCTCCGGAATCGAAAAGACCTCTGATTCTCAATTCTTATCCCCCACTTTTCCTTCTTATACAAATGCAATGTGTTCGTGAGGCGTACATCACTGCTGTCATCGAGAGGCGGAGTTCGTCCGCGACGAAGTACCCTTCTGCATAACGATCAAAGATGGTTGCACCGGCAAATGCCAGTGGTGGGCTCGAACTTTAAATAAAATCGCGGCGACATGCGGCGCGCATGCGCATTGCATTTGACAATTGAGAGGGGATTTATAGTACGCACGATTATACTGATATCACTATCTGGGATCCTTTTTTTTTGTGAGATTATAACTTTATTACAAATACAAGAAATGTAGAACACAAAATGTTGAGTAACATTGTTATTACGAGGAGTGGAGGATGTCCAAAGCTCCATAATTGTCACTCGTTATTTATTACAATCAACGATGACTTTCTCGCACCTTTCCGTCGGACTTAAAGTCGGTTCTGGCAGTAATTAACATTAAAGACATCTAGCCGTTTAGTGGTATTAGGATTACGTACATTTTTTTTTATCTAGGAAGAGGGTGTAAAGGATTTAAGGAAAAGGGTTGAGGAGAGTAAAAATGGCCATGCTGTCTTTCATTCTGCATAGAATTTGTTTTTGCAGCAACTATTCTGGAACACTTTCTAAATCGTACCACCTAAAACTAAATGAAATATTATATAGTTAAGAGTGCCATTGTATGACTGTTAGTAATACCAACCCTCTTTAAAAATTCTTCGGCACATGTACGTGCTCGGGCATTTACTGATAGTTTCATTTCACTGAGTTCTCTATCTATCTCCTCCATAAAATGAATAACAAAATCAACGATTTTATGCTTGTACATTTGTTCGATGTGAAAATTTGTTATGAGAAAACTAATGTCGTATCCCTGAAAACAGAAATGAATACATTATAGTAGATTGTACACTATATTTGACATAAATACAGTAATTCTTGCCTACCTCTATGGGTGTTCTTCTGAGAATTAAAAAATTTTCAGCACGCATGGTCATGAATCTCGTGAACTTGTGACATAGGATTTTTTCCAAGTCATCCGCCTGCTTAACTGCGATACTTATTCTTACACTATTTATACTAGATTCGATGAGTACCTTCTCCTTGTCATTTCGACTTATGAGAATTGGCGTAAGGAGCAGTTCCTTACTTGCCCTAACTTCCACTTCTGGTTTATTGTGCTTCTCAACAATTTGTGATGAAAAATTCTCAACACACATTGCAGCAGTGAGAGTGCGTCTCACGGCTGTTAAGTAGGGCTTCAGCGACTGTAAAAACGAAAAAATGTTTCATAACACTTTTACACTCAATTCAATATTCATCATAAAAGATAACGTGTACTCCAACCTATGCGAAAGTGTTACTGTCGCTATGATAACATCATTAGTATTCTATAGATATCAACTTACCATTTTTTCCGTTTAAATTAATCACTGAAGCCAATATTTTGAAATATATATTTTAACTTCCAGATTCTAATTCGCACGCGATATTTCTTCAGTGAAAAAGTTCGTTATTAGAAAAATGACACATTACTGTGACTCTGTACACGTCCGTGGGCTTGGTCAGTGTTCTACGCAAGCGTACTATAAAAAATCAGCGCTCCAAACGAGAACTCAGAAGTTTCTTTTTTTCACACTAGAGGCGCCAGATGACTGTTGTGCATTTTGTATATTACTGCTGTCATTTGACCATCTGTAGGTTTAGAAAATTCCTTTGACTGAAAATAAATAGACTTTACGTGCTCGTGTATTCCGAGGCTCGCAATTCTAATATGTAGAAGATATGTATATACAATAGAACTCCAATTAACCGAGGGATTCAGGACCAAAGATTCCACGGATAACTGAAACTCCGATTGATTCGAATTAAACGTAATTCATTGTTCCGGCTAGTACAATTCCAACGTAATGCACACGAACTCATGTCTTTTGGCAAACCTAAATCCGTAATGGTACAAGCGCTAAGCCAATGACCGTATTTTAAAATCAGATATGCCTCGCGCTTCGGCCAATTGCACGGTGCTCACGTGAGGCACTGCATGGCACAGGGTTGAACCGCTACTGGAATTTACATAGCACTTCAATGGGTCAAGCCATTTACAGGTGTCTATTCATCCAGCCTCGCATGTCACTATGTCCCATATGATGCCCAGTCTATTTACCTCTTCAGGCAATGGTAATACTGCAGATTTAGTGAATGATTGTGCGCTTCATGGATATTTCAAACACTGCAGGGGCAAATTTTAAGACAAATAGAAAATGTTTATTTAATACAGTGAACAAAGAAATATTTTGTTAACTGTAACTTGTCTTCATGTAGTATTTATAAAAAATTAATTAATATAAGCCACCAACTTGAAAGAATTGGAGTTATATATCATATACTTTCTAAAGATTATCTTGATAATATCATAAGGCACTAAAATTAAATATGCATCCTTAGTGAATACATTATGTTTGTAAAGCAAAGTGTGTATATGTATATAGGTATTATAAAGTTATTTTGGTTGAGAATGATAATGTTATGTAATCAATAACAGATCATTGATGTTATTCTGCAATAATTAAATCTTATCACAATATTCTTGATAATTACAAACAGGTATTTCAGGAGGATTTGAAAATCGCATCCTGGATGTACAACTTCTTGTCACAGCTACGACACATAAAATAACAGCAAACGCAGCTGCTAAATGCCATGTAAAAACAAGAGCTACTTCGGGAACAATTTCAAAATAAGAAGCACGAACCATATGAATGGTCCATGTTCCTTGAAGCAAGGTCATAGTAGCTCTCAAAAGTTTTGCTTCTGGCCAAACAAGTTCTAATGTAACTGCAATTGATGTCATCCAGGCAGTAGCAGCAATGAAGATATTGATAATAAAATCATGCCCAATATTGTTCAACATGAACAGGAAACCCTCGACAAAGAAACTTTGTACCAAACCCATTTTAACAAGACCATTTCCAACATTGTAAGGAAAATAAAAATTAAGGACATCGATTAGGCCAGAAAATGCAAAGAACAAGTAAATTGTTGAGTTAGCAACTTTAGGGGATATTGCTCCAAAATCTATCATATGAGTTGTGAGGGTACCTGCCAGTCCTATCGCAGTAGCTGTTAACTTCAAGATTCCTTCTAGAGGAACACTTCTTAGAAATGTGCAGCACTTTTTTCTTAATCCGACAATCTTTCCAGCATCATATTGTTCTTGTTGTTCCGGAATGATTTGTGGTTTTGCATACTCATAGCACCACTTTAGACCAAATGCATAAAAGATAAAGCCTTGCAGGATATACAGTAGATCAGCACCCAAAAATTCCATTATGATGCAACTGCAAATTAATTTTCAAATAAATGATAAAGTTATAATAAAATTTGTTGCGTGTCTTAATTTCCACGCTAATACAAATTTATCACTTCATTCATTGTTAATATAAATTGGCACCTTACATTCCAATAATAACACAACTGTAGAAGATGTACTTGAACAGGCAAAGCTGGAAAAAAAATTTTTTATAAATTGAATGCAACACTTATGACGGAATTTTGAATAAATGTTTTACTGTTATCTATGCTACTATGTTATTCTAAAAGTCTAACAAGATTTTTGAAATATATGTTGCTGACACTTCAAATATCATTATATCTTTGTCATATACATGATAATAAATACTGACATACTTGCAGCATGGGTATGAAACAAACACTCAGTAATGTGTAATCATTATCTCTTAATTAGGTTTGTGTTATTGCTTATAAGCAGTTGCGGATCACAAACTATAATTTTATTTTTAGCTTACTGCGATATATTAGAGATGACAGAGATAACACAATAAAAGAAATAATGAAGTGGTTGTTATTCTACATTGCTTATATCATTTACGAATAAGCCGAATTAAAAAAAAACACGATGTAATAAAAATATTTTAAATTATAAGAGAATAAAATCTAAAGAAGTAGTACATATTCAATTTTTCAATGAAAACTTAAAAGTAGTTTTACATTTAAGTTAGACGATAAATGACTAACTACATGAGTATCATGTGTGCAACATCTTTCCGTACTACTTTAAATCACTCGAAACATATCTGATTAACTATGCCTTTCAAAACATTAATTACTCAATTATTTTATTTACCTTGTTTTTCGAAGTTCTATGAACAATTGTTTCCCTTGCGAGTGTCTTTCTAATAATGCTCAAGAACGGTCTGACGACATTTCAATCTGCGTTGAAGCTTCTTCCTATTCCAGTCACTGAAATGTATATTAGAACTGACAACTGGACTAAACCAATTCGAATCCGTATTACGCATGCCAAAATCTCGCAGAATGTATAGTTTCTTTCAAAAGTTAGTATTGAGAGTACATACGTTCAATTGTAAAGATATTAAAAAATTCACTATGGTTGTGAATTGTAACTTTCAGTTCAGTCTGTACTTAACGTGTGCAGTTAGCAACAAAAAAAGAAACATGATCTCACAAAGACAAAAATAGAAAATACCTGGCACGCAATGATATAAAGGAGACAAGGATGTGCTCCTACGGAGGTCTTATTTTCGACTCGGTCTGCGCTTTCCAAAATGCCGACATTCGATGCTATATTTTCGTTGGTTCGTCAGTAAACATGTTTGATGTCAATAGTTTTTTAGAGAATCAAAATCAAAATCTAGTGTGAAATTGGCCGGCACTTTTTTTGTTTCTAATCGGATTTATGCCCGTTTCCTCCAACGTTAATCGAAGTTTAAAATCTAGTTACCCTATGTTAAAACTATATTTAAAAAATGTAACCAGGCTTAAACCAGGTCGGAAGAAACGGGCATTAGCTTTTCAGGGGACTAATCGAAGCAGAATCATTTCATAGTATGAATTAACTAATAAGAATGTTTGATAGTTCACAGTTTGCTAGAAAAATGAAAAAAACGATATGCGATTCGATTCTTCGATCGGTGTATCATTGAACTATAAACAATATGTTTGTTGCGTTACTTATACAATACTTTCTGCACTTTTCAAAAAGTAAAATTTCTTATTGGATAATATTTTAAAGTAAGCAATGAGAACCTGCCCTTTTTGAAAAGTGCAAAATGTGGAAGTAATGAGACCAAACCTAATATATTCGTTCGTGCAAACGTTTTACGTGCTCCAACGTATTATAGGTGTGTTCGAAAATGAGCCGAGAGCGCTGAGAACACGTTGTGTCTCGATGAAATGCATGAAATAAATAGAGAAGCAACGATGTACTTTCCGCTCATTTTCAAACAATACCCATATCTCTGTACCCATAGTGTTCCGGAGCACGTAAAAACGCCTGCACGAAACTATTGGTAGGACCAGTCACACTCCACAAACGCGTACTGCCGACCAATGGTGCGATATGTTCACGTGAATTCACATTGGGGTTGTCGATCGAGAGTCGCCTTCGACGAGTGTGGCTGATTGTATGTATCTAAGGGCCCAGTCACACTCCCGCACGCGCATTTGAACGCAAGTCCCGACTAATAAAATATGAATTCCTGTGGACGTGTTATACCATTGGTTGTAACGCGCGTTTGGCGGTGCGACTGCGCCATAAGAGAGCGGCAGAAGATCAAAAATTTTGGCTATATACGGACGAAAAAATAAAACATTGCAAGTGCTAATGTTAAGACAAATAGAAAATATTTATTATATACAGTAAAACAGCATTTAGTTATTATAATTTAAAATTAAGCCATCTTGATGTCATTTTTATAGTAAACGAATTAATGTAAAGTACTGACTTGAAAGAATTGTAATGATATATCACATTTTCTAAAAGATTCTCAATAATAAGGTATTAGAATTAAGTATGCTTCCTTAGTGAATTCATGGTGTTGCTAACAGGAAATATATCTGTTGGTAGTATAAAGTTATACTGATTGAGATAAATAACATTGTCATTGATAACAAATCATTAATGTGTTTCTGGAATAATTAAAACTTATTATTAGATTCTGGACCATTCTGATAAACAGGTATTTCAGGAGGTAGTGAAAATGCCATCCCAGGTCTACTTTTTGTAGCAGCTATAATACATAATGTAACAGCCAATGCACCTGTTATATGCCATGAAAAAGTAATATCAACGTTTAGTGACTCTAACTGATAAACACGAACCATATGAGCAGTCCATGACCCCTGAAGCAAGGTCATAACAATTCTCAGAAGTTTTGCTTCTGGATAAATAAGTTCTATGGAAACTGCTAAGGATGTTATCCAGACAACAGCAGTAAGGAACATATTGGTAATAACAATATTCAGATCGGTGTATAAAAATAAGAAACCCTCAACAAAAAAGCTTTGCGCTAAAATCATTTTGACAAGACTATTTCCAATGGTATAAGGAAAGTAACCATTCAAGATATCAACCAGGCCAGAAAATGCAAAGAACAAGTACATTGTTGCGTGAACAAATTTGAGGGATTCAGAATTTGGTGCACCAGCTACAAGGGTACCTGTTAGTCCTATCATAGCAGCTATTACCTGTAAGATTCCTTCTGCAGAATGATTTGTCACAAATTGGCTGCAATTTTTCCTTGATCCTTTACGTTCTTGTTTTGGGATGACCTGTTGCTTTGCGTGTTCATAGCACCAGTTTAGACCCAATAGATAAAAAATACAGCCTTGCAGGATATAAGGTAGATTACCATCACTGGTTTCCATGATGATGCAATTATGAATTAACTCTGAAATAACGGATAAAGTTATAATAAATTTTGTTGCGTATCTTAATTTCTAAAGTAATTGTTAATATAACTTAGCCCCTTACGTTCCAGTGATAACAAAACAGTAGGTGTGTTGGAACATGCAAAACTGAAAAATAAATATTTTTGTATAAATTGAATGTAACAACCACGATTGCATTATGAATAAATATTTTATTGTCATCTATGCTGCTATGTTATTCTAAGAGTCCAAAGATATATCTCAAACCCATGTTATATGTGTTACAAACATTTCTTCAGATACATGACATAAAAATGAATACAATGACGTTTGAATGCTTAAATCAATTGATGTAACCAAAACTTTTAAATTTATAAGAGAATAATACTGAACTCGAAAGAAGTATCACATGTTCAATTATCCAAAGAAACTCAAAAGTGATTTCACATTAATATTATAAGATAAACGAATAATAACTATATGAATATCATGCGTGCAGCATATTTCTATACGGTTCTGAATAACTCGAAACATCTAAATTACTATGCCTTTCAAATCATTGGTTACTCGCTTTCTCTATTTACCGTTTTTTCGGAGTTCTATGACAGTTTCCCATGCGAATTTTTTTTCTAAAATTGTTGCAGGACGTTGCACGCTGTACACTCCTTTCTATGCTCCTCTTCGTTTCTTTTCGGCTTTCTCGCCGTAGCGAATATGCTTCGACATATAGTATGGACTACGCACAAGCATAGAAATACATGGTTGGCTGAAAGAAAGAGATAGTGACTGGTGACGGCCAAGCCTTGTTTCTTTCTAATCAGCAGCCGTAGTACAAAAGTATAGAAAACGTAGTCAATGGAAGCATTAAAAAAGGAGAGCTACTGACCAGTATCTCGTCATTGAATAACATTTAGAAGGGGAGAATTAAGAAACACTGCCTGGACATTATTCGTCTTGGAAAATGAAATGAAATTTTAATTACATTCAAAGTTCTAAGACATGCAAATGACGTATTACGGGTTTTGCCGGTAATAAATTGTCGGCGGCTCAACAATTTTGTTGGGCCTGCACACCGCATACATAATTCAATTCGAAAAAGACAACAAATTACACAGTGTAAGATAGTATCGCTCTCGTGGGGATACTCCGAATACAGCGTACGCGTTCCAGTATAACAATATTTCATTGGAACAGAGTTGATTAGGCGCGATCTTTGGCCGAAATTCACGATAGTGAAACTATATCACCGGTATTATGATATTCGCTTAAAGCGTTGTCTCACTCTATTGCTTCTTGTAAATAAGGATATAATGATACTTGTAGTACTGGAAATGAATTTCGGAACTTACCCATGGTCAGCTTGAGATGAAACACACTCTTAAGACCGTAGATCTATTTTGTGAGAAGATAATTCTCCCAAATTCTAAAACCTGTTCAATACTCCTTATGATCTGATTCAGACCGAAGGCAGAAGAACGAGCAAATAGCATTGATCAATAAGGAAGGTTCTTTAGAACTGATTTATGACGTCTGTAATGTTTTACGCATAGTTTTTTCAGATTTAAAAAAAACCACGGGCCACTCAAATTTCTGGTTAGCTTATTCACGCATTGAAAGGATAAAGAAGAAGCTATTCCAATGGTGCGCGTCGGTACACTGTCGCCACTTAAATATAACTGCCAAAGAATGTCGACATCTTGTGGACATCCCAGACTTACCGACCTAAGGTAAATGCGAAGCACAGATTCATAGATATGTAAAATACATAAATTAATTTCAGGAAGTAAAATTAATTTAGCAGGAGTTTAATGGAACTTTAAGATCTTAGAATAAAGTTAAAAGGGACAAGAAGAACAGAAATCAGGTACGTAGTTTTGTTAAACCAAAGTGAATAACCCGACGGTAGATATTAGCGAGAATGAAAAATTTAAGAATCAAAGAATTTCGTAAAACTTAAAAAAATTTGAATAGCCAGAACTTTGAAGTCATTATTGCTTTTTCTAAAAATTGCAATAAACAGAACTTGATCGAACTGCGTACATCGAACAAATACATTCAAATCATAGATACGCAGTTCATGAAAAATTGACAGGAAACGAGAAATTCTTATGATAAAGGGATGTGAGTCGAAATACAAAATCAATCCTCATTTTGGTATTCAAAAGCCCGTTTGCGGATGGCTGTATAGGACGGTAACCATGGCCTTTCATGTACAGCTCAATTATCGTTATGTAAATTGACTCAGTTTTGTGGTGTGGTGGAAGCCCATAACGTACTACAGGAGTCGGCAAACCCTGGAGGGTACGTAGTTCGGCAGAAACTACGCTAGAGGGATCAAAATTAGAAGGAGATGCCAGTATGCAGTTTTATGAATCCAGCTATGGAAGATGTTTCAGGAGGTGAATGTTCCAGAATTGGAGTTTCTCAGAACGAAACTGACCTCGCTGTTTCATCTGATCGAGAAATTCTCATCCGTGAGTATCATGGTCTCCCTATGTGACTCTCTCTCTCTCTTTTTCGCTCTTGCTCTCGCTTTCTCGTCCCGTCGTCGATACATCCAATGAATTGGGGGGTTGCGGTCGACAGTAGGCGGATTATTGCGGGAGGTTGTCACATCTGTCATACACAAGGCATTATTATTCCATTTTCCCTGGGACCTTCTCGCCTGCTCTATATACTATTCTGGATAGGGTGCCAGACAGAGAGAGAAAGAGAGAGAGAGGGTAAGAATATTCAGCACAGTTAAACGACAGAGAGAAAGCAAGTTCGAAGCACGAAAGAAGAGTGATTCCGATTCAGTCGATTGATTCGAATCAGCTGGTCGGATCCCTGCACGGGATTACACTTCCGTTTACAAGCGGTAAACCTGTTTGCCGCTGTGTGGGCGGAACCTGAAGTTCTGGGGAAATCAGGGAATACGAGGCTTAGAGAGAAATACTGAAAGACTTCTGATAGAGCTGGCTATATTCACACCCAGGTTGTAATTTATTGTTTTTACTCAGTAGCAAGCAATATACATATACATATATACTTACATTATAGAACTTATGAATAGTCTAGTTCCTATATTATATTTGGGCCTTATTTCCAGACAATTTCTATGTGCGAACGTCATGCCCGCAGCATCTACTCGTCGAATTGCACGTAATCCCTGCACAGGATTACTCCCTATTTATAACCAGTAAACCTATTCTCGTTGACGATCCGGATAATGCGCCAGGAACATGGAGGATCCGGGCGCTGAACGTTCTCTGTTGTGCGGATAACGTAGTGCGGCGCGCGGAAACGGAATGCGGAGTGCGCACGGTTATTGTGCCTCCGGGAAATATTGAGTTTTCACGGTTGGGCGTGTCTCCTGGTGACAGAAGCTTTCTGAATATCCAACAATTCTGACCTGATCTCTTCTGTCTCATCTCATTTACCGGATAAGGTCACAACATACTTTACACTAATCTTCGACACTGCTACATAACCCTATTATATTCTAGGACTTTACCCATTCAATCTGGAGAGGTTAATCATGGTGATCTATGACACAGACGGTTAACGACACTTTATATACTTTTTGTTGGATTAAATCTAAGGGATGGCTATGACGTCGAGGAAGATGCTGGCCGATAGAGATCTCGATTATCCGAATATTCAGAAACTCGACGTGTCGCTAATTGTTTGTCATTGCGAGTGACAAATAAATCACAAATCTCATCCATACCGTCAGTCGCCATCAGTCGCAGCAATGGACGCGACTGCGAACACGTACTCGATCTCAACGTTATTCGCGTTGTTATTCAGGATTAATAAACGCGTCACTCTGTTTGTGATAGAGCCGAAGAGCTCGTGAGAAATTGAGGATGCATTATTGTATAATCATCGACGTTAATCAGATGCTCACTGAGAAATCGAATAATCATCAAAGCAAGATATACCAGATGGTTCAAATAAGCTCAATCCTAGAATTCCAAATAATGTCTTAGAGCGTTAACGTATATTGAGCTGTAGGAGCTATGGGCAAGCATTATTGACACTGTGCGTAAGAGGAAAGAATTCTTTCTACTTTCATCTTGGGAAACTCCTGGGGGATGCGGAAAGGTAGAATCGTTCGGTACAATTCATATTTGTCCGTAGGCAGCAGCGGAATTGCACCTTTAATCAAGATTTCTACCAATTTGCGAGCGCCGACGGCGCGAAGACAAAGCCTATTGTTGCCGTAACTGGTTGGGGCTTCAAGTGTTCCAACGCAACGGCAAGAGACCGATGCGCCTCTATAACGGGTGGTACGAATAATATGTAATACAACCGTTTTGATTTACATCAGTTTTCTCGTAGGTAAATAATAATTATTTTTTATTTCATGGACTATCATTTGATTTATTTAATGATACTGAGATTAGACTTTTTTTTCGTGACAGGTACTATAAAAGTGATAAAGAAAATCTGATAAATTACCTGGATGTCACCCGTTACGATTAACGCAGAACGTAGAGACACACGGCTCACGCGACTCCGACGTCTCCTGGTAAAGAGACGTCGACGTCGACGTCGAGCTGAGATTTTAGAGTAGCGCAGAGAGAATGGCGTCAGGAATAGCAGCGGATGGAAAGGCACGTGAAAGAGACATAAGAGGAGGGTACCTCTCTTTCTATTTGGCTCTCTCAGCGACTGGCAACAAGGCAGCATCCAGGATCTCCCCAGCTAGTGTGCGCCTCCAGCATCCATCCTTAACCATAGGCATAGGTATACCCAGTGCCACCAACTTGAAAACCACTCGTAGCTCTGTTTGTGTTTGCTAATTGTGAATTGTCTACTTCTTGCTCGGTAGGTACGTAGCAACCTAGTGTGCCATCATCGTCGCACCAGCTCATCCACCCTCGTGCCATACGTGTCTCCACGGTCTACGTGTCTTCAGCGTATACCAGTCGAGCAATGTTTCTGTCCTTTTCTTGTGGAATGCTCAGACACTGAGTAAAAGCCAGGAGCAATGGAAAAAGCCGCTACTCTACTACTCCAGTGAACCACCAGTGCGCCCCGGGCACGACGTGCACGATGATTCATCCTGTTCTTCATCCTCGTGCCATCCTCCTCCAGCTCGCTAACTCTGATACTTCTTGCATTTCCTCTTCCTCTGGTCGGAAGCAGTGCTGACACTTGAGTATACCTCACTAGTCACTCCTCACACAAGAAGCACTGCTGCGAAGAGGCTGCGTGCCGGAAGCAAAACGGCACGACCAATTTTGGGTCTGGATGCTGGTTCATAAGATGAATAGTCACTCTATCGGAAATCGTGGCAACGTTTTAATTGAAGGGTCAATCTCCAGGAGACAGATGGAGCGAGGGTGGAAAAGTAGAACGAGAGAGTCTTTTTGGCTGGACTAGGTGATAATGAGATAGTTCCCGAGGTTTGTAGATAGTGAGAGGATAAAAGTTCTCTGCCTGCAGAACAATTGTCATTATAAAGTGCGAGAAGAGTTGCACAGCGCTTAGACAAAACATACCCTGTGTTCTCTGGCTCCCCAGCATCCCCCGAGACGGGGGACATATTGTTTGGTTCAGTAATTCCTCACGTTATTTCCCGTGTTTGCTTTTTATCATTGTAAACTGATATATTGTTCGAGCTAACTCCCCCTTGATATACTCTACTGCTAGTCCTCTTATGGATAATAGGGGGAGACTCACGAGGACAGGGGCCAGGATACCAACCCCTATAACTCTTATCCGTGTATCTTCTCACTAGCTCATATCTATTCCTCCCTGTAACATAGGTATTATCAATTTAATATGATATAACTTATAAAATTGTTCTTTACACGTGAAAGGTCCTCCAATTAAGCAGACACATTAATGAGTAAAATTAATGAGGAATGTAGTACCAAAAATAAAAGAGATTAACCTCGTGTTAATTTTCAGATGGTTCGATTCTATGGCAAGAATTTTTAGTGCTTTGGCTGAAGTGTTTGCATATACGACAACTGGACAGACCCATCCGGGCGTCACATGGCGCGCCACGTGTGCCAACACCGAACCCGTCGCGGGGTAAATAACGAATTAACCACCCCGACGGTGTTCGCGTCGCTCTCATGAGGATACATCAGGAAGCACGGATCGATTTCGTCGTCGGAGCAACTGGACTGGTAAGCGGATAGAGGCCAAGAAATGTAATCCGAGTAAAGAAAGGCGACAGAGCACCGAGTCATCACGACTTCACGGAGTTTTACTTCGACTGGTGGTTCGAGGATGGAAATGAATGGGAACGGAAGGTGGTGGTAACGTTGCTGGAAGCCGAGGAGACGATGTTTCTATAAGGGTGGGTGTGCGAGTGGCCCCAGGGTGAACTACCACCAAGTGCTAGTGCCGGCATGATCTGACGAGGCAGAGGTTTATCTGTCTTTATCAGCCAGGCAGGCAGGTCTGCATAGGCAAGAGCCACCCCCGATGAGCAACCCTGAGAGAACATTCTGATTGGAGCAACAGGACGGTACGGGGGAGGATATCCTGGGAGCCTATTGGCTCCCAAGGATCCATACTCTCTATTCAGTCGGCAGCTCATTCGTCGTCAGCTCTGAAACCCCACGGGATCCAGGGACCCTCCAACCCCCTGGTGCACCCTGACACACGCACCACTGACGTCTCTGCCTTTCGACACGGCCAAAGTCGGTTGAGTCCTGCCTGCGTCTTTTTACCCTCGTACCGCCCTACATACCGTTCTCTGTTTCTCAAGGGAATTTCGCGAGCAACCTGGTGCACGGAACCTGCCTTACGTACTCACTGCCTGGAAAAGACTGCTCCTCTGCCGGAACGATGGCCATTCGAGGAAACCCCCTGGAGCCGCTATAACTGTAACTAGAGTAGGACTTATTTATTAATTAACCCTGGACCTTTCGCGAGCATTAATTAATCAGTTCACTCTAATTATCGCTACAGAACAACGAGACAGGATGATGATAAAAGATAAGAAGATTTTCAACAAGAATCCATGCTCCAAAATAAGAACTGGTGAAACCAATAAGTGACAAGACAGTGCATCACGAGTGAAGCGTGAAAGTGAGCGAAGAATCGAGAATTCGGCTGCTCCGTGAACCTGAGGACCAGGTGGCAGGAGGGTCGGATGAAGGAAGGCGTACCGTGTCGGATTCTGGCGTAGCGTAGCTGTGACGTCGTCGCTCATGCTCCGCCTCTAACCACGCCCTTGAGCGTTGCTACCTTCGCTTCCCTTCGTTCTCTCCCTTGGTTCACCCTTGGACGTCTCGTGGCTTCGCATTAGCAGTCGACCCCCGCGTTTAAGCTCACCAACTGGCTCATACGTTTTCCTCTGGCACCGAGCATCGCGCACCGCCACGCATCCTCCTCATCCTCTTCCTCGTTCTCCTTATCATCTCTTTCCTTACCTCTCTCTCTCTCTCTCTCTCTCTCTCTCTCTCTCTCTCTCTCTCTCTCTCTCTCCCCCTCTCTCTCTCTCTCTCTCTCGCCCCCGTTCACTCTCATCACTTTACCCTCTAGTCCTCTTCTACTATCTGACACCCTCAAGCTCTGTCACTATCTCTCTCACTTCCGCATTACTTGACGGTACCTTGAGGAGTCAGCTGAATCGTGACGAAATCCGACGGTAGCTCGAGCAACATCATGGGATCACCGACCGTCCTGACGACGCCTACGTCGATGACCAGGACCAGAGTATGTAAACAGGCGTCGCGACGCGTGAATTACATTAGCCAGGTCCAGAGGCTCTGCTAAACGTGAAAGAAGAAACAAAAAATTTGTGAGTGCTCAGAAGTTGTTACTTCGAACAGCGTGAACATCGTGTGAACAAGGTGAACTGTTGACATATATACCTGTAAGTGTTGTTCGCGGAGATGGATGCGGACGAGTCATCCGCTAGAACTAGACTTCACGGTGAAAGACATATGGAATTTAATCCTGAGCCTTGAACGTATTAAATATTGTGAACGTACGAACAGTCCCGTCCCCTGTATCGGTAAGATGAAGATACGGGATTTCTCAAAGTGGCGTCAGCGTCACGACGATTGACTCGAGGGAGTTCCACCGAACTCATCTCGAATTTGTGTTCGGTTTTTTGTTATCGAACCCAGTGAACCCAAAGAGGGTTGCAGCTAAGCGAATGAACAAACCGATGAACAAGACAGCCGTGCAGTGCATGAACACTGGTAGATCCTTTTAATAGGGAATTCCTGTAGTAGTGCTGTCCTGCGACTCCAGCAGAGTCCGTTGATACGTGTAAGTAGCACTGTATCCATAAACTATCCAATTATGAGATCATCACTATAACAAACTAGTTCATATTAAACACTCAGTTTACAAAGCTCTTGTATTATCAACAAAAGTGTATATTCACTGGTGATACCATTGTTTGATACCTCATAGGTCTTTGCTTTACCCAAGGACCAAAAGGGAGACCCAAAATAGGGTTGGACATAAAAGTACCAAGGATCGCAAGGCAATCGTCAGGACAATGGTTAATAACCGAGGCGGAGGAGAAGGAGTGAGAGAGAGGAAAAGAGGATTCTGAAGAGTACATAACCATAGAATCAGTAATGGTAGAAAGCGAGCATATGTGCAAAGTTCTCTCATACAGACTCATGGGTAGTGCCAATGGAAATTATCGAACAATTAGTCCAGGGCTTTCGGTTAGGCAGTGTTTTATAAACACAGCCCTATCGACGGGCGCCTAGCTATTATTTTAAGGATCCCATGGACCAACCCCCATAGCATTCGTTCACCGATGAAGCGGAGTACTTCCATATCAGGGGTAGCAGGGCACTCAAGGGTCCAGAAAAAAGGGTCTTCTAGTGTTTCGCTATACGTGTCTCTCTCTCTCTCTTTGCAAAGCTTTGGCGTTGTAGCCTCTCGAGTTCCTGGCTCCGCAAACACTCATACTCGTATACGCATGCACCATCATCACCATAGGTACACCATGCCCTAGACTCACTGGCGATTTACGTGAAGAGCCTGGAATTACTTTGTACCAAGTAACGCGACGGCCGGCTAACAACGCTGTTATTAATAACCCCACGAGTCCTTATGGATAGAGGAGTAGGCAGTTCTTCTTTTTACATACTTTATTCAACGGCACCAGCAGCAGGCGACGTCGGCATCGTCGATTAGGGCGTTTCATAATTCAGTAAGAAGCGTGCGGACGCTTTGTCGTCTTGAAGCTTCCGTCTTGTAGCTTCGCTACATTCAGTCTCGTGAGTACACGGGGGATGAATTGTGAGAATCACTGGGATAACGCAGATCGTTACTTGTTCTTAATACTTTCTTATACTCAGCGACGTCCAGCGTCACGACGGCAGAACGTGACCCAAGGAAATGTCAAATTTGTCAGGACTCCTTACGAGCCCCTCTGACGAATACAGTTGGCGCAGGAAGAACGACCCCGAGAGCACGACTCCATTTGCATAGCTATCTTGGACGCCATATCGTTTATTTGTTCAAGCAGGGGTGTTAAAACCACGCTCCGTCGCGACGTTAATGCCAGAACCCTGGCTAACTTATGGGCACGCACCGACATGGCGACATATCCGAGATATCCGGCGATTAGGGGAAAAGAAGAAAAAAAGTAATCTGAAACTCCATCACGGTTTCTGGGACTTTTTCACGCTTCACACTTCGAGGCCCCGTTAGGCTTCTTCAGTTTATACGTATATATATCCAAGTATAACTTAAATCAATTCTTGATCCTCTCATTTTCTCTTTTCCTTTTTCTTCCTCAGCGCGGTTGTCGCCACTTCGATCTTGCTCAGTTGTTGCTGCCAGCAACAACAGTACCCGGCAAAGGTTTCGAGCCCGTCGAATTATTACGCTACTTGATTTCGCAGCGGCCCCAGCTGTCTCCGATTATTCGCTATAGAAATTCCAGGGATTCTGGATCAAAGGGGGCCTTAGGGTCCTCCGCCAATATTTGAGAAGGTCCCGTACGTATATCACATGTATTCTCAGTAGCTCGTACGTTTTCCTAATACACGTCTGCCTCAGGGATCCTTGACTGGTATCTCACGTGCAGCCTTCTGGATTTCTATAATGGCGGATCCGACCCGACCCTGTGCCGAAATCCTGTGAGAAGCAAAGTCTTCGATATAGCAACGGGACACGCTAACCGGAAGAGCAGCCAAAACTATGCAGAATATTCTTGCAACGTTCGAGGACACGTACTTGGATATATATACGTCCTTAGTATAGTTTATAGAGAGCGTCGTTGAGATCCTAAAGATTAGTTGTTGCAGCGTCGCGACAGTGGCGACGTTCGCGTGTCCGCAGTTCCGTGGTTCTCCGTTAGACAAGTAAGGTTAACGGACTTGGAAAGTCTTAGGTCATAACGAGTCTTACGGACAGCGTCACCAATATTCTTTCATAGCAATATATTGAAATTCCATTGAATGTGTCTTCAGAAATCCATACGGGACGTTTAAAATCTAGGGAAAAGAAAAATATTGTCATTAGTAAATCTCTAGCTAGTTTCTATATTTAGAGAGCGCTTAGCGTTCGCCACTATAAATAGCAATTTTAAGGATAGATAATAGCCACTGATAAGGGCCCCGCGTTACGTGCGCAAACACATACTCTCACCTCAGGACTATCTCGTACGGCACGCGAAAGTCAAGCGAGTCGAGAATTGGCACTTGAGTTTGCGAATTTTAATACCGACTAATTGAGCCAGAGGACTGATCGGTGACGGTCGATGATTATGGTTGTATAGCCGATTGACCTTTGAACCCTTCCTTCGCACGGAGACTCCCCAGCAAAGAGAGCTCGTGTTATGACAAACGAATTAGTCGGCAGTGGCAACCGCCGTTGCCATTACTGTCTATCGTACATCTGACTACAAATTACCAGCCGGAGTCGACTAACTGCTAGTCCTCGTTCACCCTTAGCATGCGTGCCTTGTACCCTCACGCCCTGTGACCCCCTTCTGACCCTTGACCCCGCTACCCCACGCCCACGAAGCCTTCTTAAATTAATGCACCGCTTTTCACCCTTAACCGACCTCTCTCCCTCTTCACCTACCATCTCTGTCTCTTATGTTATTGGCAGTGTACGTAAAAGGCGTTTCGAATTTTGAAAAGAACAATTTACAAGCTGGTACACAAATTTCTAGGGTCTCGAACCGGTGTCTGACTGTCGTTTATATATTTTTTTCAGACCCTTTAGCTTCTGTCTGTATTGCGCAGATTGTGCGGCGACCCAGTTTCAATGGGGGAAAAGCGTTTGCATGTCGTTTGGGTCGTGGGTCACCGCGGGGGTGCTGCCAACCCCCGTCATGCACACGATAAAGCCCACGTATAAAACTAATTAATGTCTCTATATAAATCTAGACGAGTACCTATGTACGTTAAAAGGTATAGGGCCAGGGCCAGAATAGCGCGAGGTATCGTGACAGACTAGGGATATAATTTTTAGCGATTAGGTAAACAAAGAGAAACAATTGAAATTTTATTAAATCTTTTAACCATAAGATTTTAGACGAATGGGCCTTGACGTGGATGGTAAGAATCGAGGATCGATGTGCCAGGGTGTGAGAGAGAGCGAGAGAGGGCGAAGAAGAGAGTGAGAGAAGCACTCGGTCACGCTATGGAAATTATGATGTATTAGACGATTGCCTTTTCAAGTCGCATGCGAAGCCTGGGTGCATGCCGTGACTAATAAGCGAAGGTAACGCGACTTGACGCGAGGTCCACGCAATAGCACCTCGACAACAGGATCGTAGGTACCTGTTGAGCAAGATCAGCAAACAGATTTTCAATCTCAGCAAGGCCTATTGAAAGACATTAGAATGACAGATTAGCAGTGATAAATAATGCGAGGAAGCGAATGACGGAAATAGATCGGAAGGTCCAGGGCTTGAAATTTTTGTATTTCATATACTGTCTACGAGTGCGAGAGAGAGGACGTTATTGGGAGTTAAGGGTGTAAGACAGAGACAGACATAGGGAACACACAGAAATCGCGACCTGTGCACTGTTTATAGAGTCCAGTCTAATACGGTATTTCATTATCTTTAATCGATCTAAGAATTTTTATTAACCAACCCCTGGAGATAAGACTTCCGGTCTTTGTAACAGAACGGGAAATTCCATAGACGTTTTGAAAAACTAGAGCTTCAAAGATTCCAAGAGATACGTAGTCCAACCGATGCCCCGCTCTCTCGACTCCTTGTTACCGAGGTTCCACCATTGCTGGTATTATCGTCTAGGTGACAGCTACTAATTGCTTGGCTGCTTTGACTATCTCAATTATTCTAATTATTTGGCCGTTCCCAATCGGCTCGTACACCGGGCCCGGACGTGCGTAACTCCTGTGTGGAATACGGCGCTGTGCATATGGTTCGGACGGTGCGTAGGAGTGCGCAGGTATATATCCAGATAACTAATCAGGCTAATGAGGAATTGCTGATTAGCCGATTAGAGGTGATAAACAATGCGGCAGATGCTGTCACGGTGACAGTTCCTCATACGAATCCCATATGCATTTCAACATGGTGTCTTCCACGGTGTTGCCAACTCCGACAATCCTACGGTGATTGATGGTTACACTGTACGTCCGGAAGTTCATGCTTATTCACCATACAGCCAAAGGGCGGCCAGGCATAATTTACGTATAAATTAAGCGTAATGAATCAACGGCAGGCGATTAATCGCAATGGTCTATCTGCGATAATAACAATACCTGGCTTGTTTATGCGCGTTAAACGAATACATTACCTTTTTCATTAGATCGCCACGTGCTAGCTCGTGCACCTTCCTCTCTTCTTTCCTTCTTTCACTTTCACTTCTCAGCCACTCATCCAGTACGTGCGCATACGGGTTACGGGCGTATGTGGCTAAGTTCACGGCGAACGTGGCTGGACGGAATCAGCCATGCGATTACTACAAATCTTATGGCTGACAAACATAACCTAGAACCTGGTTCTGGCTGGTACCGACGATTCCCTAAAATCGCAAAACCGGAAGTGAACGTCATGGTTAGGAGTCGCTGCATTAACCAGGTTGCATTTTTTATTTACCTTTTTTTTTTTTTACCCTCACACTGAGGTAACCATCCGACCATTCAGCTCTGCGTAGGGTACAGAGTGGAAACCGTAGGAAGTAAACAGCCCGTGAAATTACCTTTTAAATATTAGATTATGATTAAATGTGTACCTACCTTCAAGGCACTAAATGTTCAGTGACTCCCCATCAGCAGGAAGGACTCATGAAGATTATGGGGTTGTTCGATAGATGAGACTGGCTCAATCTCATCCTGGCCTTAAGCGCGAGACCACCCTCGCGCTTACATCCTTGATATCAATCAACCCTCGAGATCAGATAAGATTGGCTGTTCAGAAATTGAGTGCTTTTCAAAAGTTTGATGGGGCTCGTCTCATTTTTCGCCATTGGGGCCACCCTGGTTAGTCTGCTCTAAGGCTGGTTACCTATACGTACTTGCGGATCGCCGGTAAAGGACTCTGGAGACAATCTGGATAGAACAAAAAAAAATTGGATCAGATTTTTTTTCAATAGATCCTCGCTGGGAAGTTTTGAATTTAAAACTTTCCTTTTTTTTTAAACGTCTTGAGAGTAAACCGGAACCGAGGCGGGCAGGTGCTTATTTCCGGCCGGTGTTCTATTCTGCTGGTTTAAATATGCATGAGTGGGCGCATTGCAATATATGCCCATTGGGCATTGGGTACCTAATGCGCCCTTGTAATTTTCAACGATGCTCTGTACATTGCACCCTCGTTTCTCAATGTGGCTGACAATCCTTTCCTCGAGGTACGGCATTGCTCACTTTATTGATAAAACTGCAGTACTTTTTGCAACAGCGGACAGCGTCTGGGGAAAGAATAAAAAAATGTTACGAAAGCCGAACGGTACTTTTCGGTACGAACATTTTCAATGCCTTGCGACTTCACTCGAATGTTTCTAAGGGTAGAATTATATGGCGAAGCCAACCCCCGTGAGATCGTTGCCAGAAGTTTCTCGAGAAGTAAAACCATCCAACCCCAAGTTGGCGGCTTTTCGAGGGAGGAAATACAATACAAGCAATAACTGGAACCACCCCCATTTCGCTCAGTTCTCCATTTTCAACCCTCCTTCGTTCACCTTAATCGACGAACGATGATTTCCTCCTCTTAAATAAACTTCTCACCTCCCTTGGTCAGGCTTACTTGAGCCCCCCCCCCCATGCTTTAATTCAGCAGCGAATTCAACTTCATCCCCCATGGGCATAAGGCACCCTGTCGATTATCAAATAAATCGTCGAGTGGTCACTTTTGATTCGTTTCTCGCCTTTTTGAATTGGACAACAAAAAAAAACCACAATTCAATTTTCCCTCGCACAGCCATTTCATTTCTGCCGCCAGGATGCTATCGCGGCCCGTCGCGACGGCTAGCGTCCTTCCATGGATTCATTCTCAGATACAGAACGAAATGAGACGCTATTCAGCCGCTGGGGCGGAAACGCTCTGAACATATATCGACTTCCGGCCACGTGTCCGTGTGCGCGTATTCGTCTCACCTACGATCTCACTTACACTCACTCGCCCATGCATAACGGACAGACGACACTCCTTAAGACGGATCACGGAGACGCGAGTGCATATGTGATCTACATGTGTGGTGAAGAATGAGAGAGAAACCTGGAGACTCACGATCAGGTATCCCGGTGGCACGCGCCGCGGGAATTGAATTATTCAAATGGAATTCACAAACGGGACAGCTGTTTCCACTCGGAGTTCAAGTCGAATTGGGGGAGTGGCAGTTTGATATGGGGAAATACATGCCAGGAAGGACCAGCAACCAGCAACGAGGATCGTTGCCGACAGCTTACGACGCTTTGTAGAAAAATTATGTATCCAGGAGATAAAGATTGTCTTAGTAGGGTAAGAGAGAAATTCAGGGATTTTAAGCAACAAGGGGTTTCCCATGATGGGAGGATCAGGGGGAGGTCAGCAACATCAGCAACAGGACCTCGGAGAAGTTTGCGACATTTAATGCGTAATATCCTATTTAATTTTGTATGAAAGGCGTCGTGCTTGTTGGTAGAATAAAGACGCCGAGGGTTTCTCCTAGGTCGTTCAGAAGGCGGTCGGAGATCGAAAGAGCCATGAAAGGGCGTCCCGACGCCGGCATTGAGCCGTCCAAGCCATTCGCGAGTTCTTGGCTGTCTGGGAAGCTGCTGGCGCCCCCTCGAGACCGAAAGACCCTTGGGGGTTGGGGGTGGCAGATGGCAGTCGTTGGACCAGTTTCTTCCAACACTTCATCCCCCTACAATCACGTAGATACTTATTTCCTGAGCTACTGGCTGATTCGGTTTGTTCGGACCTACCCTTAACCGAGACCAGACTCATTATGTCTTTAAATCCCTCTTTACTTACCGTCCACTCACCCCTCTCGAACATAAAGTACCCTTGCCATAATCAATGTTTCAATTAATACAGCTTCCTTTTCTGCAGCTTGTAACGGAGATCATGGTTGGCATTTAAGTTTCTCAAATGTCCCTTAACGGAAGTAAGGCGTCGGTGCGTGTCCCTGAAGTATCCGATGCTCTTATCAATTGATTGCTACCCCTATCGCAGTAGACAGCACGCACCTTAAGTTGAAGCACATAACCGATATCTGATAAGGGTGCCAATAACCTTGGCTGGTTCGCGTGCTTATTGTTCGAGGCATCACGAATCTAGAAAAAAAAATATATCAAAGAGGGGTACGAAAAAGAAAGACTACAAGTAAGGGTAGTAAATCGTGTCTAGTTTAACCTATAAATACGGATCTAGTCAAAAGGCCCACGTGACGTCAGTTCAGAAGCCTCGAGACATACGAGACAGGGGGCACGCGCCACTCAAGACACCCTTATTCATCTTAGTCTGATTTTGGTTGCCGATGATGGTAGCCGTGGTTCTGCGGGGGGGTCGAAATGTAGAGAGGCCCCAAGGAACAAGGCCCTAAGGAGACTGGATCGGGTGCCAAGGCAAATGGCACGCGAGACTTCCGCTGCCGGTATCAAATTCTCCTCTTATTCTTCTCCGAAGAATCGGGTGAATTGAGATCTCTCTTTCAATGAAAGCGGAAGTGCCGGAAGTGCCGGCAATGCATGTAGTAGTCGCTCCTGTGACTAAAACCCCCCCGTTCACGTTACTCCCTCAGCCAACCAACCCCTTTTGTAATGCTCATTGTCTATTAAAGAGGGCGGGCAATGGGCCCCGTGTGGCCCTGTGTCTGCCCCCCTCATGCCCTATATATGTACGTACTATATACGGTCCCTAGGTGGCCCACGTACCTCATTCCTACATACGTGAGCAGCACTATATTTTGTTGTCTGATTGTGGGCCTTATATATATATATGTATAGTTAGTAACGGCAAGTAACGCTCTCTCGCCCCCGTAACGAGCCAGTTGAGAACAAAAGAAAAGCAGCTCGAGACCAGTTGGCTCTTCAACTTCCGATCAGCTGTCCTGAACAGAGCAAGGGTCTTCTTGGTTTTTGCTCCCGTGGAAGAATTCCTGAGGATGAGATAATTTCGAAACTTTTAGAATTTTCAAAAACTTCAAGACATCCTGGATGATCTAGAATATAAGGGTGTGACCCACCTGGACGTCAGTGCGTGCTGAGAACAAACGTGAGCGCGTGCTCGTGGCCAACCCTCATAACTCAATAGGTCGCCTCGGGACAATCGGGTGGCTCAATTGTTTTCCTGACTTTTATTCCACAATACTATTATTGCCATTAGTATTATTCAGTGGCGTGCTGGGGACATGCTGGAATCGTTCAATGATCGCTGCTACCTTGACGACTGACAGTGACGAGTGTGAGACGAAATTGGATATTTTAATCTGAAAGTTTTAACTGTTTCGATTAAACTGATTCTCAAATTTTATTACTTTGTTTCCCACGAAAATCTCTGGGGCATAGTAGTGATTGTAATTTAGTCACGCGCAGAAGAAATCGGCTGAGAAAAGAAATAGAAAAAATGCATGGCTCCCAGCATGACTTCCTGGTGGATTTAAAGTAAGGAGTGAAAAAGGAAATCAGTGATAACGAGGTACCCCTGGGTGAAGGTCAAAAGGGACCCCCGTTGACGACGCAGCTGCGAACCCCCCAACGTGCACAACATCAGAACCAGGAACAGCGACTGCCGTTGTCGCCGCCGCTATTACTACTGAATCCAGATAGTGAAATCAGGAGTTTGGTGGCCATTTTGCAAACGGTCCATTCACTAGGGGTTGCTCGTGTGCACCGATTTTATGCTGTGCCCGTTTGCTCATACGTGCGGTTTTTTGACTTGCTCTACGCCCTTCCGATTCTTTGATTGGACTCCTGTAACGTGAAAAATCAAGGTTGCACTTTGAGGGTGGTTTTAAGGTAAATAGATCTGTGGATGACGGTAAGACAGAGCGTCGACTGTATATGCACTCATAGGGGTTTGTTAAAAACTAAATCTACTGTTTGGTCAAAATATGATTTAATATAGCCATAGTATGTATTTTCGTGTTAGGGGTAGCCGATTAAGATGAAGAGGGTGGCTAATATGGAATCGGCTTAGGCGTCGGGGTGCATGGCGTCAGCCTGCTAGTGAACTACCGGGGCTAGGAGAGGTCTGCCTCGTGACCGAGTTATGTGGGGTAGACGTAGTGAATAGGGGGTGTATTGTGTTTCCTGTCATCCTCAGCCAAGGCTTCCTTACTCACCCCGAATGCTAATTATATGTCAACCGTTCACGCGCCAAATCACGAAGGACCAAGTGTCAGGGATGGAACAATAAGGGTTGCCACCCTAATACGCCGGCTAGGAAAGTGCACTTGAGCGACTCTTCCCTCTGCTATTCTTTGCCTCTTCCTTGCCCCTTATTCTCCACCTGGATATCAACAAATAAGGGTTGTTACTACAGACGTAAAAATCCAACAGTGCTTTCAGCCGGTATGACCTCCAGTTACCCTGTTATCGCCTGAAGGTGGTTAAGGGCGAAGAACGATGGGCCAAAGAACTCATGAGCAATTCTATACTTACTCATAGAAAGGGGATGGTGATTGATGCTACCCTTGCACGCGAAAGAAGCCAGCCAACCAGCCAGCAAGACTTGGAGAAGTTCAGACTTCTTGGTTCTCACCCTTAGGCATCAAAACACCCCTAGCCAAGCTCGCGAATTTCTTTGAACGTCCTCGTTGTCCCGGTTCTCTAATTAGCATTGAGCGAGGGCGTCGCCGGGATTACGTCGATCTTCAAAAGCTGGTGAAACCGGCGCGACGCCTGGCGTCGTTCCGAAATTCGATGATGGCTACGTAGCCTAGTGGCTGCTGCGGCGTCGGCGATGCTGGTGGCGTAGAGGAACTTGGCGAGGAGGTAATTAACGGCTCAACGAGGAGTCGACGAGTAAATTTGCAAAGCCATTTCAAGTTCCTTGAAGCTCCTTCGAGTTCCTTCGAGTTGAAGCGATCCGAGCGCCGTCGCGGCGCTAATAGTTTACCAGGGTGATTGGATTCGTCGGACCGTTCGTAACTGCATTGGTAAACTTTGCACATTTAGTGGCTACTCTGTCCTTCGATAACAATCCTTACTGATTATCGAAACAGGCCATGAAAGCAGCCAAGGATACTGTCGCATATACATATATGTCAGATCAGATATTTAGGCCGCCTTGAGGTCGAAGATCATTTGCTGGAATAAATAACATTGGATCATAAATAATACTAGAGACCCGGATCCGGTGGTCCACCAAAAGCCAATTAGTCTTTTGAAGCTCAAGTAACTTCGACTGGACGAACTTGGCCGCCCGACTGCCCGGCGATTGAATCGAATTGAATCGAGAGAGCAAAATGGCCCCCCGGTCGGCCATGTTGTCCGGATTGAAATAAATTGGTGGAATTGTCGGGTTGGCCACGGGGAGCGATACTGATTGCCATGGCTTCTCGTTAACTACAGTAACAATGCCCTTTGACGTTCCCACTCTCATCTCCGGCTTCCAGACAGCCAACCATGGACTTTCTCTTGGTCTAACAGTGCTGCCACCACAGAGTTTGGTCCAATTATTGTATCCTTTTATTCGGTGGGTATCTGCAATATCCCTATATTAAATATCACGTTCCAGGACACACTAAAATATGCAACCATAGACTCTACAGTACATACCATGTAAACCGTTGCGCCATTAGACTGACGAGCCGCGCCAGTTTTCACGGGGAAAGACATAAGGGGCCCCGTTGCTTCTCACTGAGTTTTGGCTCGTTACATAATCGCACTCTTTGTCCCGTCGCTATTTGTCCGACAGTTGCTCCGCTCCATGGTGGTAGAGCCACTTTCTATGGTGGCAAGTCCGAAGGGCGTATCGGGGCGTGCAAAGCTTGTTTCTCTCGACGTTTCTTTCTCACCCGAATAGGGCCCGAGGGGCCCTAATAATCAGGGTTGCCTTGGCTGCGGGACAATTCAGACCATACACAGATGGGCGGGGCCCTGGAGTACCGTAAAACGATGTACTCTTAGCTGGGCCAATTTTCCTGGTAACAAAAAGAAAAAAGAACGCTCTCACGTCGCTCACGCATCGCTCGTTAAGGTTGGCCATAGTCTTATATGTATACCGAAGTCACAGCTCTTCCGGTTTTATCGTCGTTGCCGTACACTGATGCCTCTAGAGTCCCGTCCAATTCCCGCTGTCATTCCAAGTTCAAATATAACGCCATTCCGTGGAGCAAACATCTCTAGTTGCTGGCGTGTAAAGCCCGCGAAGACTTGCTCTTCTTCGACTGTGCTGACCATTTCGCATCTCATTCAGAGCGGGCGGCACTCTGAAGCGTCTACCAGTCTGGCGTCACGTCCCCATTTTACCCAGAGCCTTGACACTTGCTTTGCTCTTGCGCAGAATGTAGAGAACGAGAGAGAGAGAGAGAGAGAGTATAGATGTATGGTTGCTGATCTCTTATGCGTTGCGTTCCGTTACATTAGCGATGCCACGAGGCTGTAGACGTGAAAGGAGGGAGAGTAGTGGGCGGCGTTAGAGAGAGCGATCCTCCCTCCCTACCACTTTGGAAAACACCCCCGCAGCGTCGCGACGCCACGGGACCATCTAACGGCCAGTTTCGCCTTGCAGATCTGCCATGCAACCGTTCTCCTCGGGCAACACCATGGCCACGGATACGCCGACGAGCCTCCCGCCCGAGAGGGGCACCACGCCGACCCCCTGCCGCAACCTGACCTTCTCTATCGCCAAGATTATGGAGCCGGACAAGCGGCTCTCGGCCTGTCCAGACAATCAGGCTCATCATCCGGCGAGGGTCCAGCAGCACCATCAGACGACTCCGACGGCGCCGGTGGCACCGACGTCTGTCCCGTCGCTCACGTACTCGGCTCACCTGGAATCGGCGTTCAAAAAGTACGTGCCAACCCTGAGACATCAGGACCTGCTGCAGCATTACCCGTTGCTCTACTACCATCCGAGTCCGTTGCTGAGAGCGTTTCCTGGTCCTGCGCCAGGCGTCGCGGCGTCGTCAATTAACAGAACGTCGCCGCCGTCTCCTGGGCATAGGGCATCTCAGTCCACGGTGACACCTGGTCGAACAGCCATCACGACGACACTTCATCAGGACTCTCGGTTGAGCTTGTCAACCTCTTCTCCGGAGAGCCAGCACCAGCAGCAGCCGCAGGCGCAACAGCAGACCCAACAGCAGGCACAGCAGCAACAGGCTCGGGGCAAGAAGAGCCCGACTCCTCGTGCGGATTCTATAAGCAATTCGTCAAAACAAAAAACATTTACTTGTCCAGAATGCGGCAAAGTCTTCAACGCCCATTACAACTTGACCCGGCACATGCCCGTGCACACGGGGGCGCGACCATTCGTCTGTAAGATCTGTGGCAAGGGATTCAGACAAGCCAGCACTCTCTGCAGGCACAAGATCATCCACACCGCAGAAAAGCCGCACAAGTGTCAAACCTGCGGTAAGGCCTTCAACAGGAGTTCCACCCTGAACACGCACACCAGGATTCACGCGAATTACAAGCCATTCGTATGCGAATTCTGCGGCAAAGGGTTCCACCAGAAGGGCAACTACAAGAACCACAAACTGACCCACAGCGGCGAAAAGGCATACAAATGCAACATTTGCAACAAGGCCTTTCATCAGATCTACAACCTGACCTTTCACATGCACACGCACAACGACAAGAAGCCATTCTCCTGCAAGATATGCGGCAAGGGCTTCTGCAGGAACTTTGACCTCAAGAAGCACATGCGCAAGCTTCACGATTCCGGATCGCCCGTCCTGGGGAGTCTGGTCGTGGGATCATCAGCACAGTCTCATGGGCACGCTCACTCGCATCCCCACGCGCACTCGCATGCCCACTCGCACTCCCAACAGAGTGCAACGTACTCTCCGGTTCATCATGGACCGGCGGCTGCAGCTGCAGCTGCGGCTGCCGCGGCCGCGCACTCCTTCGTCAGTCCGTTTCTCCTGCCGCCTCCAGGCAGTACCACCGGAAGTTACCTGAGTAAGATGTTGTGACAGGGCGAGGGCGTCTACTGCGCCCGGAAGGCACACTGTCCACCCCTAGTCCTGGCGCCACCCTGCTACCCAGGAATAATGGCAGCGGCTGTGGCTGCCGCTGCAACTGCTGATATCTCGCAGCAGCTCGGCCAGGTAGCCGGTGCCAAGTGATCCTCGTCTTCATCGCCATCAACGCCATCTTCAGGACTACCACGTGACAAACGGAAGTAGGATTAAACAATCGATGTTCTCTAGATTTACTCGAGCGATTTACCTGCGCTGGGCTTTAAGCTTCTTCGGACGTCGTATCCACGGCGACTTATAACTCGCATAAGGGCATTGTGTTCCTGGCGATATATGTATACGAAGTTTACACGTGTCCCTGGACAAGTGCGCAACTTTCAGTGGGAAGTGGTACACCTGGTCGGGATCAAGGTACATCAGTGTCCCGGGGTCACGCATCAGCAATCTGGAAACTGAAATCAGACACAGAAGTCTTTGTCATGGATCAAATACATAAGTTCCAAACTACTGAAACCTCCTGATCGATAAGCCATCATAACCTCGAAATCAATCGAAAAATTACATTGTTCATAACATCTAACCCCACGCGCTAGGGATAAACGTAATTCGTGACGTATTTCGACGAATCAAATAAGCGGAATAAACTTTGTCTGACGATCAGTCAACAGATCCTCGACGTCGTTCCTGATTGCTATATACAGGGTGATGATGATGTAGCATTGGCGTTCGTTTACTCGCATGTAAATATTAATTGTAAATATTAGTGGACGCGTCCACCATTGCGCTACGAGAAATATCTCTATGCGGATTCTAGCCAGATGTATAGATCGGTGTGATAGTAGCTTTAAGGGATGTGAATGCGTGTGCGTGAGAGAGAGAATGGAGGGGAGGGAAATTATAGAAATCGCGGCGATTACGAATAGGCAGAGCCAAATGCAATAGAATCGCTCGCGAATAATTATCGTGAACGGGTCTCACTAGCTCTTTCATTGTATCTTTTTTTGGCCGTGTACACAATTGTACCTAAGTGAGAGTGAGTGAACCGCGCGCAATAAAATACGTCGACTAGATAAGGCTAATTAATTAACAGAGGATACAATAACGAAGTAATATATGTAGATAATCCCTAGATTAGATAAAAAGAGAACAAGTGCATATTGTATGTGTTCGCCCGTTGTAAATACGTAAATCGAAATCCAATGCAATAAATTCGTCGATATAACAATATGACAGTCAACCTTCATTTGCTACCCTCTGTTCCCAAGAGATTCCAATATTTTATCCAATTTTCAAATATACCGTCGCTCAATGAAAACAGGTTTCATCGACCTTATTGCACAGTACAGACGACCCCTAATCTCACGGGCACATCTTCGGGCTGTGCTCGAACCGATCTTCGTCCGATGATACTTCTCCATTTTGTAATGGATAAGAGCAGTGACAGGATGAGCGAGGTCAGGGCAGGGTAGCAACGTGCCTAGGGGATGATTTTAGGACTAGATATCCCGGCCACCTTCAGATGTATCTACAGAATCTGTCCTCCATCCATTAAATCCGACCTCGTCGGGTACTGCTCTCTCAGCCCTTATCAAACGAGGCTGGTCGTTACAAGAGAGACACCCCTCAGCTACCGTTCACTCCGCCAACTCAACCTCCGACACCCCCTGTCACGCCGATCCACCCTTTAGAAAGAGAGTAACGAGTCTCTCTCATTGTCAGCTGGAGAAGCCCTGAAGATTTAACCTGGTCCATTCCTCTCCAGTCTCTCCATTTTGGTCCTCATTCTTTCTTCTCGCTCGAGGAGCTACGGTTGTATACAAACAAGTATTTAGTAACGTTTAATGGGACTTACCCCCTGCGAGGGACAATTAGGGGAGGATTATTGACACCTGGTACTGGCCTCATGCTGTTCCCTGAGTCGTTGCCTCTTTGCTTTTATTACGAGCTCAGGCTTGCTTACGAGACCAGCTCCAAGAAAGCCATCGGTTAGACAGTCCCAGAGAGGGCCTCAAGGCCCCCGGGTTAACGTTTAGAATCACTCTAGCGCGATTCCGCTCATTCAGCTTGGGACCCACTAAACTGGGCCTTCACAGTGTGACTGCAAGAAAAATTTTCTTCAATGCCAGCTTCATACACTTCGCACGTGATTCTCCATTGCAAAGATGGTGAACTGTGCATAATAGATCAAGAGGGATGTAAAAGCTTATGAGAAGGTTGTTACCTATGTCAGAAGGTGTCAGGGTGTGGCGCTGCAATCGCCATGTAATATTAGCCAGCCCATTGTGTACGTTATTAAGCTATGGTACGTGTCTGTATACACACATGAGACATGCGTAGAGTATATCATAGTGGCCCTTGGCCCTGGCATTATCGCTCCAGTTAATATCCTCGTAATTGGTTAAAACCCGTAACCGATGAGTGAACTGGAAGTTATTACGTACGGGGTGTGCCTTGGTTCTCGCGGTGGCAATGGGGGGTGGCTTTGCGCGACACGCTTCAACACCTCCGGCGTTGGGACGTCGAACGGGAGAATGAGCCGGCATAATATCAGCGTCCTGGCATCGCTGACATCGCTAACATCGATGACATCGCTGTAACATCACACCCTCCTTCAACTCTGTGCTCGTCATTGTTCGCACACGATTTTCTATAACGTTCTCTTCGTACCCTCTTACCGACTCCCTCTTCCACCCTGATCTCTTCGAAGAATTTCCATTTGTCCTCGATTTTATTAGAATCGACGCCTCGGCGTCGTCTCTTCCTTCTTGCTATTCAGAACTTATCAGATTCTCTCTATGCATCCAACTTAGTTCAACCCCTAATTGGGGTGTCAGGTGTGTATATAACTCATGACGACGCACCCCTATGATGTCGGTTTGATTATTGTGCTTCGATAGCCAATCCGTCCTTCACCCAGTGGGCGCGATTGAAATTCCAGAAAAGAATTTTTTGAAAATATATCCAACGCAAACGGCGCCATCCGATCTTCTTATCGTACCTGTATGTTAAGACTGTATTATATATACGTGTTACGTGAAATTCAGAGCTGATATATTATAATGAAGGCTCTAGTGGAATCTCGTGATATCGTCGCGTACTCACAGTCTCGAGAGTTTTCACTCTCTGCACTCGCGCGCGCAACTAGGCATTGATTCCTTCAAGGCTCGACACGCCATTCCTCTCATTACGAAGCCTTCAGACCCTCGATCCTCGATCCTCCTCCTCGTCCTCACCCACCACCTCCTTGAACTCGCTATCTCTCTCGCTCCTAATAGCAACAGGGTTGGCGAAGAGGGGAAGTGCTGAAGAAGAAGAACGGTGACTGCGCGTTATTCGAATACCAAGAAGAAAATTGATTGGTTCGATTTTTTATCGTATACACGAGCACCTATACCATGCGGATGCTGTATGACTTTCTCCCTGGACCACCTCTTTCTGTATCTCATTCACTATCTTCGTGTCGCTCATACGCGTGTCCGCTTTCTACGTGACGTCTTCATCCACCAGTTCCTCGGCGACTTTTCCAACATTCCAGGAATGTTCAATTACGCGCGGAATCTCCTGGAGAAAAAATAAAGTAATGAAATAAAAGATCTTGAGGCATCCGGTCATAGAGTCCACGTACTACAGTGTAGTCGTAGTACGAACTAGAGAGTGGCTGAGGACATTTTCAAATCTTTTTAATCTTGGTCCAGGACGCGTAAGTGAAAGCTATCTCGTTGAATGTAAAATCAAAGACACAAACAAACTACGTGAGTCAAAGTCGCTCACCCCGTGTTCCGCGACCGTCAAACGTAACTCCAGGTTGACTGCTTCGGTCGGCGTCTTTGATGTGTCTCTGGTATGACACCGACGCTCATCATCTCTCACTCAAAGTGTTTATGAGCTGCGTCTACGTTGCGTCCCTCTGATCGTCGCGACGCCAGGGCGTCCTGACGTTGTGAATTCACCACAAGAGTCAACCCTCTTGTTTCACTTTCCTTGGATAATTAACTGGCTGCCACCCTCTGTCTTTCTGGTTAGGTTAGAATACCACCGGATATCCATTCCACCACTGTATCCAAAGTACAGGGCTGTATACCATAACCTAACCTCTGTCCTTTTAAATCCTTAGTGACTGGAGGAACTGCAGCATCCATAGAAACTGAAATGAAAATGAGTGCTTGGTTTTAAAATGAATAAATTCAACCGATTGCCTGGATGCGTTCAACTGAATCAATTTGAAAATTACCTTGATTAGGGAAATTATGCATGTTTTCAAAAACCACCACTGCAGTCTGCGACTCCATCCGCCACAACCCGGTGAACCAAACAAAGCATCATATGTATAATATGAGCTATTATGTATCTCTCTCTCATTTTTCGTATCCATAACCATCCGCATAGGTGCGTACGATGTGTCAGCCGTTTACGCGAGCCATCCTCCCTTGAACAATACAAACCAACCCCTATTTTCCCCCTGTCTCGTTTCACCAACCATTCAATTATTCCAGTACGGGACTTTGCCGACGGGAGATTACGTATTCATGGTACATCGCGACACCAGCTTCCTGGTTGATTCTTCACATTTTTTCCTCTTTTTCCACATTTTCCACCTCATTTCTTTCACCTACCCCTATATATGCTCGGACGGGCTTTTCAGTAGAAAAATGGTGGCAACGCCAGAGACCGTCTTACGTATACCTTCCAATATTCTCTTCCTGCGTCTACTTGAGTGAAGTAACCAGGGTGAATATGTTTCAGAAAACTTGTTTCGACACTGGCAATGAGGGCCCATTCAGGAAACCTGACAAGACGAATAAACGGGCCCAAAAAGAAGGCATTGTGCATTGGTATATCTAGGTAACTCGTATACCTGTATTACCCATTGCGCTCGAGCAAACATCCGCAAGAGTTCTGAGATACGTCACCGGTGTGTTCAATGTTAACCTATGCCTACGGTACCGACGTCCATGTTCTGCTAGGAAGTTCTGATGCATACGAACATCACCACTGGAACAAGAAAGAGAATATTTTCTTAAAAGGCACTCTGCGCCTGTGTTACAAATTACTAAAGATCTTTCATACCATACGTCGTTGCTCCTGTACTGGCTGTGATTCTTTGAGGAGAGTCGTCGATTACGAGGCTCAGGGTAAAGAGGTAAAGAAGCTCGACGTAAGCCTCTAAAACTGTTTGCCAGCTAATCCGTTAGGTTAGGTTAGGTTCTTAGCACAAATTGAGAAACACGGTGGACGAGGCTGTGAACAAGAGAGTGACAGAGATGAAGTAAGCTGGTACGACGGAATCCTGGTGGTTTCTGTCGGCTAATGTAAGGGCACCAGGCCATAGCCAGTAAGCCATAGCGACTAGGAAGCGTGGGACGAAGCGTCGGCGAACCACAGAGAGAAAAAAAAAGTAAAGGACGCCGACGCCACTATGACTATTAGTCCATCCATGGTTCATGCTGAGGACTCAAAGAGAGACGGACACGGGGCATGAATGCGTGGCCTGAGATTACGACCAATAAATTGGGCCATGGTTCATTTCACTAATTCCCATAATAATCTAATAGATTACGATTATCTGTTTAGTTCGGTTCGTTTACATCTCACGGCTCTTTCCTCTACCTGGAAGTTTCTCAATGAACTTGGCTATCCCTTCCTTTTCCCGATGCTATTCATCCGCTCCGGTTTGAGGAGTAGCAGCAAGATAGGAAAGAAGAAAAATCATCGGAGCCAGAAGTATGTCGCATGACGTCACTCAATGGATCTGTAAACAAACGGAAGAGTAAGTTTTTACTTTTTCTTTGTATAATTTAATTTTTTTATGGTTAACAAATAATTCTAGAAGATTGATCGACACTCGTCGCCAGCCTCCGGGATAAATTGGCACGGGAGATACAGAAAGAGAGAGAGAGAGAGAGAGAGAGAGAGAGAGAGAGAGAGAGGGACTATCTCACGATGAGACAGAGAGAGAGAGAGAGAGAGAGAGAGAGAGAGAGAGAGAGAGAGAGGGACTATCTCACGATGCAAACACGAATGAGTAAGCGCGCGGATCTTTTTGTCAAGAGGCGCTCAGGAGGAGAGACGTCAAATTTAGGGTCCAATTTAATTTAATAGGGGCAAACGGCTCTTCTGGGCTCGAGAAACTTGGGGATGGAGTTTGGCTTAGCGAGATGAGCGAAACAGCCCTAAACCGAAAGACCGTCATCGCGTCGATCGGTATTTAGTGGTGTCTGCGACTGACATGTATGCGAGCTACGATTTGAGAGAGAGAAAGAGAGAATAAATAAGTGATGAACAGAGACAGAGATAACCAAACAGAGAGAGAGGGAGAGAAAGAGAGAGAGTACTAGGCATTGCTGAATTTAAACAAGGAAAGAGTTATCTGTGCTCTGCTGCTTCCAGAATTCTGTGGATTAATCGTGGTCCAGGGGTACCATATTCACTATGACAAAGGTTCAATGTGATCTGGGATAGAGAAACCGGAGGACTGTTTTCTGTATGACTGACATGTATGCGAGCTACGATTTGAGAGAGA